ATTAATAGTAATGATTCTGGTAGAAGTGCAATCAAAAAGTATTGTTGCAATTGTATTGTCGGCCGTCGAAAAGTAGGATGCTGTGGTCATGTTATGACGGTAATATGGTATTTGGGCTGGGCACGGCATCAGGCTAATATTTTCCCTCCAGCTCAGTTCCTGGATGATGTACTGATTGTATATGATACAAATGATATGAATGTATAAAATATATTATGAAAAATTGATAATATATGTATGTATAACAGCAAAATGATAGTTAAGAAACTGTATTTGTGAAAATAAAAATCATTTTATATCTTAACAATCCGGACTTTTTTCTAAATCAATTTCTTTTCCATTTTATTCCTTAAAATGCATAATACCATATCCATAAGCTTTTATATGTGTGCACCCAGGGCCGAAGTGTCTATGGTCAGTGGGCATTCCCCTTTGCAGGTAAGATAAATCTTGTAGTAACCTTTACCTAGTAGTTTCGGATTGAAAAATGGTAAGTATTATGGTATTTAGGGTGGGCTCGCTATGAAAATGAAATACACCATCCTGCAGAATTTTTGAACCACACTTTAATATAATAAACACATATTAATTGTTATAAAAAACACATAGTTATTACTATAATAAGTTTACCTCTGCTTTAGCCTTCGGGGTTTACAGGCGTTATATTATATTGATATGTTTGCTTTAATTAATACCTGTCATATATATATCGTATTTGTCTAATAATCTGCATAAATATAGCAAAAAAAAAATAATAAATTACAATAAAATGTCCGATCTTCTTTTACATAAAACATATTACGGAACCCAATATCAATTGTTTACGCAAAGGTCCTCGTTTCTATTGCGCCTACGTATCTCTAAACGAATTAATAACTGGTTGTGTCGTCTCACGTCGAGCGCATTCGAAAAAGTCCAACGCGCATTGCGTAGTCGACTTAAAGGCATCAGAGGTGACGGCTGTGTGACTCGATCGCAGACGACCTACGTTGCAAGATCGTACCTACCTATCTGAATCTACTTCAAATCAATTATAAACTCAAATCGGAAATCCCGCTGGGGTAAGTTTTCATGTATTGCTTAAGTGTTGCTATTGTAAAGTGTTTCTTCCTTCTAAATGTCTGTCTAGTAGCGGCTATTCCTTTTTTATTTATCTGCTAGGACACTGTGACTTTTGGACCGGGTTACCGAGTCCGAGCTCTGCTAACGTTTGCCTTGTCTGCGCTTCCAGGATTTATGTTCTGCATTTGACTTGGCGGCGAGTGGAAGACCAGACCTCCTCCTAGTTGGGAACTTGGGAACTAGGCCCTGATGAAGACCTGGAAGCGCAATTGTGAACGAGACTGGACCGCCAGCAGAGCTACTCCACAGTTCAGGGTCCTTAGACAAAGTAACATCGCTTAATAGCGAAACGAAAAGTAAATTCGCCATCGTCTCTGAGATAACGATAAACATTTCCTAGCCAATGTAACACTATAGTCGTGATCGTTGTGTCGAATTCTTTATTCGGCAAAAAACAAAAATATTGGTTATGGTATCGAAAATCC